TTTTGTCCCGTCATCTATTCAGTTATGAAACACTTCAGAGCCTGTCCTTCCGGGTACACTGCAGGAATAAACGGACCCTGGAGAGCGCAGGTTAACTGTCACCATAATTTCTTGCGCCTTATACTGCACAATGAATGGTGATACTACTTCTGAAACTGGATGTAACTAGAGAAAGAAGCCTGGAAAGACACATGGTTGTGCGGAGATCCTGTTGTTGTTGTTGTTGTTTTTTAGTCGCTATCAGCATTCCGCTTTCATTCATTTCGAGTACCCTGTCAGCTGCTAGCGTTGGCGATCATGATTTTGAACCTCGCTCGGTCTTGGGCGAGATGAAGAAGCTTACTCCGCTTACCAGTGTTGTTATATCGGTAATCGGACTTCTTAAGCGACTGTTCATGGGATTTGGCTGCTGCTTGTAATCGGAATCAGATTCTCTTGCGTACTGATGACGATTTTGTTTCTAGTTGAAGGACGGTGTTTACAGGATTGGGTGTCGTATTTTTCACCTGTCCTTTTTTTGTTTTGAATTTCACTAAAAGCACTATCGCAATTGTTCTTTCTTTTTCTTTCTTCTGCTTCTTTTTCTTATTGTCGTTATTATTATGATGATGATGATGATGATGATGATGATGATGATGATGATGATGATGATGATCGTGATGATGATTATTGATTAACGAATGAACTTCTTGATCTATATTGTAGACATAGAAACACCACCATGCGTTTTATACAACCAATAACAAGTAGCGTTAATGCGTTCGGCTGGAAGGGGGAATACGCGTCGAGGGGGTGGGGGTGGGGTGAAGGTGGAGTACGCGTCGAAGGATGGGGGGGGGGGGGGGAGGGGGAGGCGAAGGTGCGTCATCAGGTGCGGGAGCGGAGCGTGGCGTGTGGCTTAGTCACGGGAGAGGCGTTGCCCTCGCGCCGTCAGGGGTCGGGCGGCCGTGGGGGTGGAGGAGGAGGCGGAGAGGAAGCAGGACAGATGGTGGAGGATGGAGTAAAATGGGGATGAAGGAGGAATTGGAGAAGGCTGGAGGATGGAGTTAGATGTTAATGGAGGAGGGATAGAAGGATGGAGGAAGGCGGGGATGGAGGACGAACAGGAAGTGGCCGGGGGATGAAGGATGGAGCCTGGTATTGGTGAAGGAATGGAGGAGGAGGAGAAGGAGGAAGCTGGATGATGGAAGACAGAGTTCATCGCGGATGGAAGAGCAATAGGCGGATGGCGTTTGGGAGACGAAATCGGGCGTTGGTGGAGGATTGGAAAGGTGGAGGAGGAGGATAGTGAGTGGAGTCGCGCGTTGATGGAGGAGGAATAGAAGGCTGGAGTAAGGCGGGGCTGGCGGAGCAAGAGGAGACGGCTGGAGGAAGGAGGGTGTTCAAAGGCGGAGGTAGGGGAGGGCTGGCCGAGGGCTAGAGGCTGGAGTCGGGCGGCGATGGAGGGCGAGCGAGGTTTTTTTGCGCAACGCGACGGTGCTCGACGGATGCCTCGGCTAACGCGACGACTTGCAGAGCTTGCCGACGAGTGTCAGCAGCCACGCGTCCTGTCGCCCCCTTGGCTTTACGAGAGCTGCGTTTGTTTACACCAGACGGATGATGGGCCATTCGTGACGTCACTGGCTGAGGGCTCCCTGCCTTCGTAAACAAGCCGCTGAGCGCCGTCCACGTGGCGGCTGTTGACAGCATCGTGGGCACGGGTGGGTACGGGTCGGAGGGGTTTCAGGGCGAGATAGCAGGAATTCACACACAGACGCGCGTGCACACACATACACGCACGCACGCGCGCACGCACGCACGCACGCACGCACGCACGCACGCACGCACGCACGCACGCACGCACACACACACACACACACACACACACACACACACACACACACACACACACACACACACACACACACACACACACACACACACACACACACACACGCACACACACACACACGCGCGCACACGTGTATACAGATACGGCAAGCGGTTGTAGAACCGCGATTCCGGCAACGCACACACCATCCATTCAGCTGCGCCAGATCAATCAGGCCGAGGCTTCCGATTGCCAGCGTCTAGTGCACTCAGGCCCCGAGCGCTTGCTTTAGACTGCTTGGCACGCACGCACGCACGCAGGGTTGCCATGGCGACGCTCCGTGGCGTCCCTCTGGGTCCTGCAGAAGGACTCGCGTGTCCGGCATCGCCCCCGCTATTCCAAACAGCTCCCGTCCGCCTTGTGAGTTCAGGCAGTCTGCAGCCGGAGGACTTGCGGAGAGGGGCAGGGGGAGGGGTGCTAGGGGTTGAAGGGGGTATAGGCAGGGGAAGGGTTGAAGGGGACAGGGGCGGGGGAGGGGTACCAGTGGTTAGAAGGGGCGGGAGGGGGGGGCGGAAGTGCTGGGTTCCGGCTGTTTGTAGTGAGTGAAAGGTGTGTTGGCTGGGTGGAAAAGGATACACCGACATGGAGGGAGAAGGGAAGAGGGAAGAGGGCGATACATACATACATATATATATATATATATATATATATATATATATATATATATATATATATATATATATATATATATATATATATACATATATATATACAAATATATATATATATATATATATATATATATATATAGAGAGAGAGAGAGAGAGAGAGAGAGAGAGAGAGAGAGAGAGAGAGAGAGCGAGAGAGAGAGAGAGAGAGAAATCGTTTATTTGTCACTGGAAAAATTGAACAGTGCGAGTGGCATATGACAAGGAAATCAGTGTCTCTCACACAGGGAACTCCCCTGACAAACCAAAGCTGTCAGTCCATCACCGAACGAACCCTATATATTTTAAAGGGAATGAAAGCATTTCTTTGGAACAAAAATGCCTGGCCTTTTAAAGCTCAGTGGCGGTGCGCTTTTGGTCGCGTGTGCCCTGTTGCCTTGTCTGGGAGACTCATGTCTTGCCCTTGACGTAAGGGCGGCAGCCTTCTATTAATATCTGACTTGTCATGTGCGTCGGACTACCCCGTCTGTGGCCGATCTACGCATCCCGCCGGCCCCTGTACTGCCGCGGTACACTTGTGTGCCTCCCCTGCCCGCGTGGTATTTTTCTCGTATTGTATATATTCACACATATATGGAATGTACATACATATACACGTGAACATACACATACACTTGCACATGTACATACACATACACGTATACATACATATACACGTATACATTCACATACACATACATCGTGCATATAAGCACACATACACATAGGCCTACACGAACACATACATATACACATAGGCCTACACGAACACATACATATACACATTCAAATACACATACATATACATATGCATATACATACACATATACATGCAGATCTGCATACCTACACACGCATAAATATGCCCATACATATACATGTAGATATCCGGGACATGCAAATAAGCATATCTGAACACATGCATATACAGATGCACATGCGCATACACACATTCACTCATTCATTCATTCATTTATGTGCGCGCGCGTTTTTCAGCATTTTAACTTGATATATGTACGTGTGTTTCCGAACGTTTGACTTACTTTTCCTTTAGTTTTTATTTTTTTAAAAATAAATATCCGGTGTAGACGTACGTGAGTTTGGGAGTGTTTACTTAAATCGGTGTAGTTAAGGTAGTTTGGCTTGTTCCCTTTTGAAGTTTGGAGAGCCATGTTGATGACATTTACTTCGATCTAGTGCCCTCAGCCAGGTGTTCCTCCAAAAGGCTGCACGGATTTTTCGTGAAGGAAGGAGAGAGGGAGGAGGAGAGGTAGAGGGAGAGGAAGGAGAAAGAGGGAGAAAGAGGGAGAAAGGGAGAGATTGGAGAGAGGAGAAAGAGAGGGAAAGGACGGACAGACAGACGGACGGACAGACAGACAGACAGACAGACAGACAGACAGACAGACAGACAGACAGACAGACAGACGGATAGACAGACGGACAGACAGACAGACAGACAGACAGACAGACAGACAGACAGACAATCAGAGAGAGAGGGAGAGAGAGAGAGAGAAGAGAGAGAAAAGAGAGAGAAGAGAGAAAAGAGAGAGGGAGGGAGGGAGGGAGGGAAAGGAAAAGAGGAGCCGGAGGATGGAAGCCCCGCGTGTTGTCCCGGCGTACTTGATGGCTCTAGCAGGAGAGGAGGACGCTGCGGGGCCACGTGTTGATTCTGGGTCTTCCTCCCGCGACCACACGCCGCACGGCCGGGCTGCTGTCCTGCCTTGTTTGCACAGGGTCACTGAGCCCTCTGCCAGCCGACGGGGCAATGATTAGTGGCTGGCTGCGGGCGAATATATCTGCGAGGGAAGGCGAGGGATCGGAAGGTAAAGAAGGCGTCTACTTATCTCCTACTTCTACTTGATGTGTGGCCGGTAGATCGCGTGTCCGTTTTTGGAGAGAGGTCTTCCGGTCCAGGAGGGGTATGAGCTTCGCCGGGGGCTTTGTGTGTGCTGCTTTGGATCTTGCATAGACTAGAGTCGGAGTTTCTCCTCGTGGAAAGAAGAGAGAAGAAAAAATTTAATGTCGGTCGTAAAACTTTCCTTTTAAACTTTTTTATTTTTTTTAGTTTAATGTCGTTATTTTTTAAATTTTGTTCCTGACTTAACTTAAGGGTCTTTGGGTTTATATGCTTTTATTATGGAAGTTTTTTTGATGAAGAATATTGTCGGTATAATGCCCAGGTTTCTATCAGCAGAAGTGGACCTATTTGCCTACAGGGGACGCATTGTAATGAACCTGGAATGAACTTGAATAATTTAGATATGATTCGAACATCAAAAATATATAAAATCAGCGAACCATTTTTTGTCCCTTGGCACACATAGCTTAAGCGCACTCCAAGAACGAAGTCAAACTCAGGCCTAACACAGCTGATTGTCGGAGGACGAGACCCAGCCATGCATGTGAATATTCGTTCGTAAAACTCTGTCCTTTTTGTCGTCTCTCTGTTGGCACTGTATTAAGTTTTCATTTTGTCTTTTCAG